TCTTTTAAGAAAAAGATCTGGTGTTGGCAAGTTCTCAGCTTCATGCAGGCCCCTGAAATTTCCACTCTTATGTCTTAGGGACAGAGTAGGGCAACTGTCCTTCCCTCCCCGCCTTCAGCCTCGAACTTCCTTAACAGTTTGCAAGGAGATCATGCCACATGAACTCTGCATGGCCAAAAGCTACAAAGAAGCTAACAAATGCATAATTCTATTTACTAATAGCCACTAAGGCAAGAACTGAGATTTGGGCTTTGAGGCCCTCAAAAACTAAAGTCCCAGCTACAGCAGACAGTGGGGGTAAGGGGAAGAAGAAGGAATGGGAATTTGGGACACACATTCCTTTTTCTATTTCCTCTGCCTAGGGCTGTCACCTGTCACCCAGCTGTGGTGCTAAATCCCTTTTGTGCACCCCCCCCCAGACACACACACACACACACAGACACACACACACCAGAGAAGGAGCAGATGTTGAAGTGGATCTGTGGAGAAAGACCAAAGCAAACGTGGGGAAGAGGGCTAGTGTCAAAGAATTATGAAGAAAACTACCACAAGGAAGAACACTGTCAGTCTCTTCCTGAACCATACAAAATCTCAGCTGGTGGGATTTTTTTCTCGATTCAAAATCATATGGGGAAAATATAAACAAGACAAAAAGCGTTTAAATGCTGGCGGGCTTTCCATGAGCACAGACCTACTAATACTCATTATTAAGAAGTATATCTGCTGACTTTTTGACTAGGACAATGAACTAAGTTTTCTTAAGAGTTATAGAGTTTGGAACATCTGTAGTATTTTTCTTTTAGTATAAATGTAACATGTTACTTCTCTTAAAGAAAGGGGGAGACAAAAGACGGAAGTGAGAGTGACCCTGATGAAAGTACATGATATGCATGTGTGAAAATTTTATCATGAAATCCATTATTTTGTATCATTAATGTATGATAATAAAAACAGTAAAAGGCAGTTATCTTAGGCAGATAAAGCTTTTTTTCTAAAGTTTGACCAACATCAAAAAAAGAATGTCAAAGATCTACCCGTAAGAGATAGTAAGCACACACAGATGAAACATTTTTTAACGGGTATTTAACAACTCCCACTAGAATGATTCAAAGAAGTCTCTATTGACCCTTAAGGGGAGCCGTACCTTCTGTAGTCTCGCCACCTTCTCATAGCATGCATCCAACTCCTGCCGCAAGTTCCGATTCTCATCAGAGAGGATCTCAACCATCTGCTGAGCTCTAGAGACGATGGCAAAAGGATCAGCTGGCATGGGCTGATAAGAAGCAGACTGCTGAGCCCGAGGCATAGCTGAGTAGGCTTCTCCTGGCTGCTGCTGTGCTGTTGGAGGAGGCAACGTGGACTGGGAGAGACGATAGTGGTCCCCCTGGTGACTCTGATTAGGAAGAAAATGCTGCTGCTGCCTTGGCAGGTGAGTAGAATGGTCACCTTGGTTTGAGACCAAGGCGTGTTGAGCAGGAGACAATCTGGTAGATGGTGGAGACTGCAGCAAGGAACTCCCAGATGTAGAGGAAGATGTCGGGCTGTGAGGCTGAGAATTCCTTGCTGCCAAAGACAGCGAGATGTCCTGTGTTGTCCTGAGAAAACACAGAAGGCAAGCTCTGGTTAAGTTTGCTCCCAAGGCACATGAAATAACACAAGGAGATATCCCCCAAATTCAGAGAAGTGAGAAGGAAGAAGAATTAGATCCCCATGAAAGAACTCTAGAGTTCATTCTTACCGAGACATTTTGTGACTCTGTCCAACAGCTACTACTGCTCACTAGCTATGATCCCCTTGGAGATGAAACCAGATAACCTCTGAGGTAAGTATGAAAACCTTAAGATGGCTATCTCCACCTTCATTGCTCAGTCGTTTAAAATTCCTCTTGTACAAAGTAATGCTCATGGCATGACTGAAAACTGAACCTGTCTGTAAAAAACTCTACGTATGCAAAGACTTCAGTTTGGAAAATGTGTTTGCTTGGTTACCGAAAACAGACATCCAGTTGCCTTTCATCTTACTTTGTGTGACTACCTTTGAGAATTTATGCCCTCAAGAATTACTCAAAGATACAAAGACATTTATTAGATTTAAGACACCAAGTAATTATTGCCCATTCCAGTTATCAATTTAATAATACACATTAAGAAGCAATATGGGGGGGGAGAAGATACAGGCAACACTAGTATACTATTTATAATACACTGAATAACAAAATTTAGGAGTTAGAAAGA